AAAAATTTTTGCCATTAAGTTCATTAATAGTATTTCTTCACAATTAGGTCCCTAACTCATACTTTATTGCTCTAGAAATTTTTGGGGTATTACATTGCTGTTGTTGGCGAAGGAGATGAAGCAGTCACTGGTGAGAAGCTGATGGAGGTTGAGCAAAGAGATCAAGTGGCTTTCCTACTTTTGTTTGGTGAAGGACATGAGGCGGTGACTAGTGAAATGCCAATGAAGGTGGAACAGGGATGAGGGAAAGGGATGTTCGATGATGTCTTTCTAATTTTGTTTTTCCTAGGTGTTTTTATAGAATTCTACTTCTGATTAGGGCTTTTTAATTTAATTTTAGTTTAAATTTAAGGTTTTTAATGTAATATCATTTAAAAAATGGGATATGTAAATTACATTAAAAATATAAGAAAAGTTAATAAACAGGATTACAGATTTTGCCCAGCAGGTGCAATTGGTTGGGTGTTTGTAGCGGGTTGGATGGGTCTAACAGACTTGGATGGGCTAACTTTCAAAATGGACCAACACATGCAACTAGCCCGTTTTTAAGCCTACGTCTAGTTGAACCGATTCAACTGACCAGATCGGGCCGGGTCTTAAAACAATGATTGAAAGCTTATAAAGGCTCTTACTTTATCATTTTCATAGTGCTATATATATATTCATAGTTATATATATATATAAATTATATATATAAAAAATTTAGACTTTTAATAAAGACAATACCAAAACATTTTTAGGCTTTTTTGTAATCTTCTTTATTGTTAGGATTCTTGTGGATGCTCCTAGTTTCGTTTTTGCTTAGATAGTTCGTTTAGAACTCATTTTGTAGATTCAAATATGTCTTTCATGTTAACATAGTTATTAGCAAGTCTATACATATTAGTTATACAAATTACAATTTGTACTTGTTCATAATTTTTAATATTTTAATAATCATTATCATAAAATAAGTTTTTCTAGAATTATTTACATCTTAATCATTACCCCCTTAACCATAAAATAATAGAGTAGATGACAATTAATTTGTAAAGTGTTATCTTGAATATAATATAATATGTATTTGTGATAACTCATTACATAAGAAGGTGCCAAGACTCTTGGAGGTCAACACTGAGTGTCCTTAGGCAAATCCTACATTGGCCATGTGAAAGATCTTGGGTTTTTAAATGCAAACCCATCACTCTGCTAGTGAGGCATTTTAAAACCATGAAACTCGTATCGATAGGCCAAAGCAGACAAATATCATTAGTAGTGTTCAATTGCTTTGCCACAAGATATTACAATTGTATAAGAGTTATTCACGTGAGTTTCAATCAATGGTAGGCACACCTTAGCGAGCACGTTGATTCTTCAAAAGGGGTGAATGTAATAACCCATCACATAAATAGGTACCAACACCCTTGGAGATATGCCAACATCGAGTGTCCTTAGAAAAATTCCACATTGACCAAACATAGGAGGGATCTTGGGTTTATAAGTACCCACCACTACCCACTAGGGCCTTTTTAAAATCATGAGGTTTGTTTTGGCTAGTCAAAGCAAACAATATCACTAGTAGTGTTTGAGCACTTCAATGCAAAATGTTATAGTATCTATGCTAATCACATTATTATATAATAGAAGTAAAAGTTGGATTATGTATAAGTTGTTTATCAACTTTAATAATATATAGATGGATAAGTTAAATTATTATATGGTAATTGACGTACAATTGGAGAATGATTAGTAAAAAATTTGATATAATTAGAAAACTATTAAGTATTTTTACACTATTTTAAAACTCAGACCGAATCGGTCGGTCAAATCGATTGAACTGAAATCGGTCACAAAATTGGTTCGAGTTATGACATAAACCCGATTTGTAATAAAACCCAATCAAAGTTAGTCAAACCTGATCAAAACTCAAAAAACCCAATCAAATTCGTTGACTTCTGAACTGGTGAACCGTCTAGTTCACAAATTTTGAAAACTTTCAACAAGTTTGTGCGCTCAAGGGGATTCGAACGCCACTCCTTCAACACTCATTTTGAAGTTTTCACCATTAAACCACCAACACCACTATTGTCACTTTTACACAAAATTTTATTTATTTAGATAAAATAAAATAAAATAAAGCCTGTGTTTATGTAATTTTTAACAATTAATTATTTTTTAAATCAATATCATGTTAATGATTTTATTTGTATATTTAATAAATAAAATTTTTTAATATGTGCTCTTAGGATATAAGTAAAATTTTATTAAATATAGTATTTTTAATTAATTTTATATAAATTCTTATATCAGATTTAATT